TCCCACAGCAATACATGAAAGTCTATTGCTCTACATTCTTGCCAGCTTTTGTACTATGTTATTTATTCACTGCTATTCTAATAAGCACATAATGGTATGTCATTATGGTTTTTATTTGCATTTTCCTGATGACTGATTATGTCCAGTGTCTTTTCATCATCATACTTCCATTTGTATCTCATACAACCATATGGATGAATCCCAGATACATTAAATGAAAGAAGTCAAACTCAAAAGGAGATACATACTTACATATTTATATGGATACACACACATTCATGACATGTGAAAAAGGCAGAACTATAGAAACAGGAAACAGATAAGCAATATCGAGGGGTTGGGAGTAGATAGATTGATCAAAAAGGGATAGGACCTTTGTACCATGTGTAAAATAGCTAGTGGGAACCTGCTGTACTGCACAGGGAGTTCAGCCTGGTGCTCTGTGACGATCTAGAGGGGTGAGATGAAGTGATGAGAGGGAGGGGCTGTATGTATACATACAGCTGATGCAGGTTGTTGTACAGCAGAAACTAACACAACATTGTAAAAGCAATTACACTCCACTTAAAAAAAGAACATTTAAGAAAGAAATACTCATAATTTTTTAAAGGGATAGGGAGGAATTTAGGGTAGTGAAGAAACAGTTTTCTTGATTGTAGTGTTGACTTCTTGATTGCCTGCTGCATTTTTCAAAACTCTCAGAACTGTACACTTTTAAGGATGACTATTACTGTGTGTAAATGATACCTCAGTAAATCTAACTTTAAAAAATATCTCAGTACTATAACATTGGGCTTCCCTAGTAGCTCAGCTGGTAAAGAATCCACCTGCATTTTAGGAGACCCCAGTTTGATTCCTGGGCTGGGAAAGTCCTCTGGAGAAGGGATAGGCTACCCTCTCTAGTATTCTTGAGCTTCCCTGGTGCCTCAGACAGTAAAGAATCTGGCTGCAATGTGGGAGACCTGGGTTTAGTCCCTGGGTTAGGAAGATCTCCTGGAGGGGGGCATGGCAACCCAGTCCAGTATTCTTGCCTGGTGAATCCCCATGGACAGAGGAGCCTGCTGGGTTATAGTCCATGGGATCACAAAGAGCCAGACAGGACTGAGCAACTAAGCACAGCACAGCAGCACTATGATACTACGTTACAGTAAATATAAAAGAGAAATAGTTGAAAGTAATTTATAAAATAACATACATTTCCCTCTGTGAGGTTTGGGTACAGCCATTCAGAGGTTGGTCTTGTGTCCATTTATAACTGGTAATATTATTAACAATGGGGACACTCTCATTGGTCTCCACTAGCTCTGCTCCCCTCATGTGAACCATATTAAATCCCTTCATCTTCCATAAATCTATTTTACAGGTGAAGCAATCAAGGCTCAGGGGAGGTTATTGGGCATCAGGGTTGGCACCAGGATTTTAATCCATGTTGACAGCTTTAGCTATTTTGCTTGCATCACTCCTCATGTAGTAAGTCGGTATCTCAGTATGTGATCTCCTGGGTCCCCCAGATCCTCCCCAGTCTACTCCAGGCAAACAATTCCCTGGACAGTGTGTATGAGGCTAGTACCCTCTCCTCATCCCTTCTTCATCCCCACAGGGTTCCTGTCCATGCAAACAGTAGGGACTTGGACAAGCAATGCTGGGGGACTTGCAGGAGCCACACTAAGTGGCCTGAAGAAGCAATGTGAGCAACAGGGAACCAGTGGACACTATGTTATTGGGGGCAAATAGGGAAATAGGTATTACCAGGATTTAATGGAAGAGTCACAGATACTGTATTAGTGGGTAATGGTCATCAAAAGACTTTGTACGGGTTGTTAATGGGGGTCCTACAGAGATGGATAATGTGAAGTCTATGATGTCTTATCAGTCATTGCCCTTACCTGGGGATAGGGAAGCAGATGAACAGAACACACCAACGTTCAGAGAGTAATGGGGGCATCACCACATACTGTGTTGGGGATGGTTACAAACACTGCTGTGTGAGGTAATGGAAGACTGTCACCATCACTGTGGGGGACAATTAATGGAGGGAAACAAAAGCCATCTGGATAGAGGTGTCATGAAAGAATCAGGAGATAATATTAAAAGTTGGATTTGGTAGGGTATACTATGGTTTCCTACTCTGAGAATTGTTGTAAGAGGTCATCAGTCATGATTTAGGTGAAAATGGGAATAAATCAGGAGTATGGAGGTTACCAGACTGTTCCACAAATGGGGCAAAGTAATATACATTATGCTGGAGGTTAACTGGAAGATGTAATGAAGAAGCTCTACAGACATTATTTCCTGGAATTAGTTAAGAGGTGACACAGTGATGGAATAAGGTAAAAGGAGGATAATGGTGTCCAGACATTGTGGATTAAGAAGGGGATAATGGCGAGATCTCCAGACACTCTCCTGAGGAGTTAGCAAACAGTCCCCAGTTGGGGGATAATGCTGGGTCACAAAACATTTAGTGAAGCCCCAGAAGCAATACTAGATGCAGTAAAAGGGGGCAGTGGGTCACCAGATATTGTTCTAAGATAATGGGTTCATCAGTTACCGTGAAGCAGTGAGATAAAGAAGATCTAATGATGGATAAGACATCATCACTAAGGTAATGGGATATGCCACTAATCACTGCCCAATTTGATTATTGGAGATTATATGAGAATCCTTAGTCCTGCTCCCTCAACCAGGTTCTGTCCCCATTCTCAATCTCCATGCTGCTATTCACAAAGGTGAGAACAATTCTGTACCAGCTATTGCCCACTCTCAGTGTTGTCAATGGACTGACCCGGAGGAACCATTCTGCTGGTTCCAGTTTGGCCACCCAACAGCTGATCATTCAATCAGATCCTCTGCATGCATTTGTGAGGCCACTGCTGCCCCAGTCTTAGGCTGCCCACCTGACTTCCAAGGAAAGGCAACCCCTCTCTCTGCTTTTGGTCTCTCCATATTAGCAGCTTTGGGCAGACCTGTCAGGGCATGATAAGCAGGTCTGTACATCAGCTTATGAGGTAGGCAAGGCCCTGTCAAGTTGCAACTGGGGTAGGGCAGGGTTGTGAATGGTTGGACAGAATGAGCATGCTCTTTTGTGATCACTTTGGAGCTGACTGAGGTATTTTGGAATCACTGAAGGGAATCTTGAAACATCAAGTATCTATGTGGGACTGATTTCCTGTGCCTCAGTTCTCTTTTGCTTATATGGGTTGGCATCAGACCAAAAGGTTTACATTGATGTTACAACTTTTGGGACCGGAAGGAAGGACTGAGGTTGAAAAAACCTGCTGTGTATTAGGTAAGTTGGTTCTCCCTATCAGAGCATCTTATGCTGCAATATAGAAAGCACTGGGCTTCCCAGGTGGCTCAGTGGCAAAGAATCTGCCTGCTAATGCAGGACACACAGGAGATGGGAGTTTGATCTCTGGGTAGGGAAGATGCCCTGGAGAAGGAAATGGCAACCCCTTCCAGTATCCTTGCCGGGAAAAAAATCTCATGGGCAGAGGAACCTGGTGGGCTACAGTCCATGGGGTCACAAAGACTTGGACATGACTGAGTGACTGAGCACAGCACACACATAGAAAGCATCAAAGGGAAATCGTGAGAAGAGCAGGGTCAACACTCCATAATGTGCATTCATGGAAGGACTGCTGGATGTTAGGCATGGGTCTAAGTTCACTATGGTGAACAAAATGGGAAAAAAACATTCTAGAATGGGAACCATAGACAAACAAGTGAAAAATACAGGGTACTGTGGTAATAAGTGTTATGGAGAATGATAAAGGAGGAAGAGGAGAGGGATGGAATTTTAAGTCAGACAGGCAGGGAAGGGAAGGGACGGCCTCTGCAAAGAGATGCTGCTGGATGAAAGACATGAAGGAGTAAAGCACACAGATATAATGAGGAACTGTGCTCTTTGAAGAGGGTACTGTAAATGCAAAGGCCCTGAGGCAGGACCTAATTTGATGTGTTTGAGGGACATGGGGGAAAAGGTCCTTGTGGAGTGTATGGAATGAAGATGGATAGAAAGAAGACAGTGAAGGTAATGTTGAGGTTTGTTTTTATGAGTTAGTGGTTCGTTACTGTCATTATAAAGGGCAAATCATTAAGGAAGAAAAATGAGCTGGAAGAACTATGACAGCAAACGGGAGACTGAGGTGAAGAGTTGACTGAGATGACCTGAGGATTCTTATGTCAGAAGCTTTCCTGAAGGTAATGGGAATTCACAGGACATTATGCTGCAGGGTAATTAAGGGTCAGTAAGTCTGGGAGATAAGGGTAGTCAGCAGACATGGTGTTTAGCATGAATGGGCAGTCATAATGCAGTTATAGCAGTCAGAAGACAATGTGCTGTATGGGAGTTGAAGACATCTACTGACAGCTAACGAGGGGTGCTAGAGGATAACGGGGCAGTCAACTGTATACAAAAATTTTTCATTGTGGCATGCCTTTCTTGATAAAAATACGCAATAGGGAATTGGATAGACAAGACCATGTTAGATTCAGCAGAAGAATGTCACCCAAAATTCTGTTAGACAATGTGTTCTGCAACAAACACTTCACAGAACTCAGGGCTTATCATTATCATATATATTATGTTGTTCTACCATTCAACTTACTGGCATGTTACCTATTCCACAGTAAACAGGGTTATCATTAACATGACTTCACATAATGTTTCCAGTGCAGAATTTGGTAATAGTGTTCCATTACAGTTTTCATGAGAAAAATTCTACTGATGTACCAAGTTGACAAAGTTCCTTTTCAGTGTAAATGCCTCAGGGTTTACTGACGCTGGTGACAATGTGGAAAGGGGCCCTCTCTTTCAGGGCCCTTTCAGAAGTCCTCTTCTGTATACTAATATGTGACATTCTGATGGAGCATTTCTACTTAAGATAATATGCATATTTTCTGTGGCACAAATTTCATAATATAAAATCAGACCTGATCTCACTGAGGTTTCTCTCAGACTGTTTATCTCAAGTGTGAATACTCTGATGCACATTGAGCACTGACTTCTGAACGAAGCCTTTCCCACAGATGACACACTTATAGGGTTTATCTCCAGTGTGTGTTGTCTGGTGTTTATTCAAATTTGACCTGTCAGTGAAGGCCTTTCCACACTCTGTGCACACATAAGGCTTCTCTCCTGTATGAATTCGCTGATGCACTTGGAGCTGTGATTTCTTAGTAAATGATTTACCACAATCACTGCATTCATAAGGTTTCTCTCCAGTATGAATCCTATGGTGTATAATCAGTTCTGACTTTTGTCTGAAGGTCTTTCCACATTCAGAACAAATGTAGGGCTTCTCTCCAGTATGAGTTTTCTGGTGTTTACTGAGATTTGACCTGCCACTAAAGGCTTTCCCACATACAGCACACACATATGGTTTTTCTCCTGTGTGAATTGGTTGATGCACCAGGAGCTGAGATTTGGAGGTGAAGGATTTCCCACAATCACTGCATTCATAAGGTTTCTCCCCAGTATGAATTCTCTGATGAGTAATAAAGTTTGACTTCCGGATGAAAGCTCTCCCACACTCAGTACACACGTAGGGTTTCTCTCCTGTATGAATTTTCTGATGCACAATGAGTATTGACTTCTGGTTGAAGGCTTTCCCACATTCATGGCACTCATACTGCCTCTCTCCAGTGTGAATTTTCTGGTGTATATTGAGGTGTGACTTCTGGGTAAAGGCTTTTCCACATGTACTGCATTCATAAGGTTTCTCCCCAGTATGAATTCTCTGATGTGTAATCAAGTCTGATCTTTGAGTGAAGGCCTTGCCACATTTAGGACATATATAGGATTTCTCTCCTGTATGAGTTTTCTGATGCGTAATGAGATTTGATCTGTTAGTGAATGCCTTCCCACATTTAGTGCACGTATAGGGTTTCTCTCCTGTGTGAATTCGTTTATGCACATGGAGTTGTGACTTGGAAGTAAAGGATTTCCCACAGTGACCACATTTATAAGGTTTCTCTCCTGTATGAATTATTTGATGCGCTATCAAGTGTGCCTTCTGGATGAAGGCTAGACCACATTTCATGCATATATATGATTTTTCTCCTGTATGAATTCTCTGATGCACTGTGAGTGCAGACTTCTGAGTGAAGGCTTTTCCACAATCACTACATTCGTAAGGTTTTTCTCCGGTGTGAATTCTCTGATGTATAATCAACTCTGACCTGTAGGTAAATGCCTTACCACATTCAGTACATATGGAAGATTTCTCTCTAATTTGAACCTTCTTATGTGTATTGAGGTTGGAATTATTGTTGAAAACCTTTCCATATTCACTGCACATAGACAGTTTCATCCTTGTGTGAGTTCGTTGATGTACCTGCAGCTGTGACTTGGAAATGAAGGACTTCCCACAGTTACTGCATTTATATGGTTTTTCTCCAGTGTGAATTCTTCGGTGTGCAATCAAGTGGGTCTTCTGGATGAAAGCCTGTCCACATTCAATACATATATAGGATCTCTCACCTGTATGAATTTTCTGATGCATCTTGAGCGTGGACTTCTGTGTGAATGCTTTCCCACAGTCACTGCACTCATGGTGTCTCTCTCCAGTATGAATTTTCTGATGTATACTAAGATCTGAGTTATAAGAGAAGCCTTTCCCACATTCACTGCATTCATAGAGTTTTTCTCCAGTATGAATTCTCTGATGCCTGAAAAGAGAAGATACTTGGAAAAAGGCTTTCCCACATTCACTGCACTTATAGGGCTTCTCTCGAGTATGAGTTCTCTGATGTGTGATGAATTCTGGCTTCTGTACAAAAGCCTTCCCACAGTCAATACATACATAGAGTTTTTCTCCTGTATGAAGTTTCAAATGTACCTTGAGTTGTGACTTCTGAGTGAAGGTATTTCCAAATTCAGGACATTCATAAGATTTCACCCCAGTATGAATTTTCTGATGTTGAGAGGGTGCTTGTTTATAGCTGAGAATTTTTCCACATTGATTATGGTCCTGTAATTTCTCTCCTCTTGGAGTACACTCTTGTTTAGTATAGGGGGAAATTTTACTATATTCAGTAATCTTATTAATGTTCTTTGATTCACTGTTTCTATTATGATTGCATAAATCTAAATTATAGCTTAAAGCACTTCCAAATAAGTCACATTGATGATGAGGTCTCTTTGGGGAAGGAATGTTTTGACTCACATGAATTATTTTCCTTATGCCCTTATATGCATAATCCCTCTGTATAGTCAATACTTTCTTGATGAAAGCCACATTTCTTAAAGATCTGTTTTCTCTCTGATGATAGCTCTCTATCTGGTCACCAATCTGCCACAATTCTTCTAGAATAAAATACAACAACACATCATTTGTAGCATCACCTTCCCTCTCAACATAGAAAGTTTTTGAGGTTTGAAACCCAAAGTCTCCTTCTCAAAGGAGAATGATTTTAGCTCAAAGAACAGCTAGCAAAGGCAAGATGAGAGGCTGATATGGTTCATCCAAGCTGAACACAATAAAAAGAGTGATGAAGGTGAATCAGTGACTTAGTAGACTTGGTGACAGGGGTGATAGGAAACACTGTGGGATAGAATTCAGTTTATTTAGAGAATAAACTTTATGAACTCAATTCACTATGTGCAGAAGTAAAAAAAAAGGCAAAGATCAAGATATACAGCACAATAACATTTATATAAATTAGTAATACATACCCCAAGTCATTTTAAACTTTAAAAGACCATGTATGAACTGAAAAATATCTTTCTATCATATGAAACAATTGCTTGTGATGGGAAGTGAGATGAGTATGGGGGAAAGAAGAAAAAAGGAATAAATAGAAAAAAAAATTATAGAGAATCCTTAACTCATACTGATGATGATAGTGCATCCTAAATGAAGACATGATCAAACTCAAACCTCATCCTGTGAAGTACAGAAATAAAGCAATTTCAAAAATCAGTCAGCCAGGCAGAGAGTCCCCAGTCAGTATGAAGTCTCAAGTAATTTTGGAAGGAAAAGTCAGAAAGATACTCCTAACAGTTAAGTGACAGTGAGCCCTAAGTAATCAGCTGGATGAAAGGCACAGGGAATGGGAAAGTGAGAAATCTTAAGTCAGTGACTATGGAGAAAACAGGAAGAGAGCATGACTGGAAATAAAGTTTAGAACCATCTCACAAGAAGAAATGAGGAGGACTAGCAGGAGTGGGAGTGTGTGACACATAGTAAGTTTTAAAGAAAGCAAATCCACAAACAGCTGAATACATAAAGAGTGAATCTCAGACAATGGGGAAAGCAGAAAGAAAAAAGTGTTAGAAAAAGCATAACCAAGAAAAAAAAAAAATTATTGAGGCAGATTGGCATGTGATCCAGAGGCCAAAAGCCAAGGGAGAAGATAGTTAGAATTGACAAAGGCATTTATGTAGAAGGCATTTAGTTATTTGAGAGGCCAATGTCAAGGGCTCTCAAGAAATAAAAAAAAAGAAAAAACCAGAACCTTCCAGAAGAGTCATACTAATAGCAATTCAAAGATGCCAGCCTTTCTCAAGATCGCTGAGATTTACTCCCCTGTGTCCCATCAGTCTGGGTCACTCTCACTCACCTGGACAGCTCTGATATGGGCCCTCACCTTGCAATGGCCATGGCTCGTTTCCTTGTTCCAACATGAAAACCTCGGTTTCAGGAACTTGATATCCTGTTCATGAGAAATGATAAAAGGTCTTGCTTGCTTGTGCCTATGCTCAGTCATGTCTGACCTTTTGCGACCTCATGGACTGTAGCTGACCAAACTCCTCTGTCCATGGGATTCTCCAGGCAATAATACTGGAGTGAGTTGCCATTCCCTTCTCCAGGGGATCTTCCCAACCCAGGGATCAAACTGGGGTCTCCTGATTGCAGGCAGATTCTTTACCGTCTAAGCCACCAGGGAAGCCCACCATAAAGTATACACAAATCTATTCTAAAAAGTTAAAATTTATCAAAATTTATGCACACAAAAACTTATAACTGTACATGGCACCATTTGCAGTCCAGAGAAATGCAGACAAATGTAAAGATGCAATAGTAAATTATAATTGCATAAGCTGTAGTGCATACTATACTGCTGTAATAATTTTGTAGCTACCTCCTATTGCTATTTCAGTAAGTTTAAGTGCTGTGAACATCCACTTAAAAAACCCTAATCATCACTTCATGAGCAATCCCTCTCTCCAGTAAATTGCACATAGCACTAAAAAGTAATCTCCCTGGGTTGTCATGTACTTTTTCATGTTCACTCAATACCATAAACCTTGAATATCATGGAACCCATACTAAGTGCTATTATAAGAAAAAGTTGAATTGCTTGATTAAGGTCCAGCTAATTGTGTTTCAGTCCATGGGGTCACAAAAAGTTGGACACAACTGAGCAACTGAACTGAACTGAATTGTTTCTGAGCCCAATCAATAAAGTCTTGTTGTTCAATGAGGCGTTGTTTTTCAGGAAACTAACCATGTATCTCTGAGAACAAAGTACAGTTAATCCTTGAACAACAGAGCTTTGAACTGCATGGGTCCACTCACATGGATTTTATTGAAAATATTTTCCAAGCTAAAGCTGTGGTTGCCAGCCATTTCAAGATAAACAAACTCAGTATAAAGACCATTCTAAAAAGAGAAAAAGAAATTCATAAAGCATTGCTATAGCTAAACCAGAAGATACAAAAACCTTGCACTTTTTAAGAAATACTTTTTTATCTTCTATTAAAAGTGGAGTTTTGGGCTTCCCTGCATAGGGAAGTGGCTCAAGGGTAAAGAATTTCCCGGCCAGTGCAAGAGACACAGGTTCAATTGCTGATCCTGGAAGATCCCACATGCTGTGGAGCAAATAAGTCTGTGTGCCACAAAAACTATTGAGCCTGTGCTCCAAAGCCTGGGAGCCACAACTACTGAACCCATGTGCTGCAACTACTGATGCCCTCTGCAACAAGATAAGCCACCACAATGAGAAGTCTGCACACTGCAATTAGAGTAGTCCCAGCTCACTGCAACTAGAGAAAAACCTGCACAGCAACGAAGACCCAGCACAGCCAAAAATAATTTTTTTAATGTAGTTTTTATGTTGGTTCAGAATTACTGTAAGAGAAGTATATCTAGAAACTCTAATGCTATTTGAGAAAAAGCAAAGTAATTATATGATAAATTAAAGTAAAAGGAAGGTGAAGGGCCTAAAGAGAGAGGATATAATCCCAGTAAAAGATGGTTTGATAAATTTAGAAAGAGGTTTGGCTTTTAAAAAAGATAACAGGACAAGCAGCTTCTGCTGACCAAAAGGGAACACATGAGTTCCTAGATGTCTTTAAGAAAATCATTGAGGAGAAAGGATATTTGCTTGAACCAGTTTTTAATGCAGATTAAAGTGCTCTATTCTGGGGGGTGGGGGGAAGCCACAAAAGACAAAGAAGTAAGCACCAGAAATTAAGACAGGAACTAAAATCCTAACTAATTCCCTTGTTTTGTGCAAGTGCAGTTGAGTTTATGATCAGGACAACCCTTTACTATAAAGCTGCTAACACCCGAGCCTTGAAGGGAAAAGATAAACATCAGCTGCCAGTCTTTTGGCTGTAAAACAGGAAGGCCTGAACAGCAAGAAACTTCTTTCTGGATTGGTTCCACTGATGCTTGTCCCTTAAGTCAGGATGTACCTCACCAACATGGGACTGCCTTTTAAAGTTCTTTTGATATTGGACAATGCCACTGGCCACCCAGAACCCCATGAGTTCAACACCAAAAGTGATAAAGTGGTCTACTTGTCCACAAACACACATCTCTAGTGGAGCCCCTAGATCAGGGGGTCACAAGGATCATTAAAGCTTATTACACATGATAGTCCACGGAAAGGAATGTCAATGCTATGTAGAGAACCTTGACAAACATCAGGAAAGGCTGGAAGGATTACACCACTGAAGATGCCATTCTTGTTATAGAAAAAGCTATAAAAGTCATCAAGCCTGAACCAGAAATTCCTGCCAGAGAAACTGTGTCCAGATGTTGTGCATAACTTTACAGCATTTACGGCCAAACCAATCAGGGAAATCATGAAAGACATTGAGAATAAGGCAAAAAAAGTGGAGGTGAAAGTGTGAAGGATTTGAAGATATGGATCTTGGAGAAATTCAAGAGCTAATAGACATCACACCACAGGCTTGGTAAATGTGAGGGCTTTCGAATCAGTGCCAGATGGTAGGAAACAGACAAAATAAGCAGCGCCAGAGAACAAACTGTCTACATGAGACAGTTTAGCAGATGGGTTCCGCTTACTTAAGACTGTTTCTGACTTCTTTTACCACATGGACCTTTCTATGATATGGGCACCGAAACTAAAGCAAATGGTGGAAGAAGGATTGGTATGGTATAGAAGCATTTTTAGAGAAATGAAAAAGCGAAAAAGACAGAAATTATGATGTATTTCCGTAAAGTTACACTGAGTATGCCTGCTTCTCCAGCCTCAACTCTTCTACCTCCCCCACTTCTGTTGCCTCTGCCACCTCTGTCTCAGAAAACCAATTTATTTTCTTCCTCCTTCTCAGCCTACTTAATGTGAAGATGATGAAGATGAACACTTTTATGATGATCTACTTCCATCTAAAAAGTAATAAATACTCATCGTGCTATACAGTTAATAAACTTATCTGTTGTATATGCATGTGTCTTCCTGTGAAAATCTACTGATAAGAATTATATGAGGAGTTTTAGCTTCATCATCATCATTGCTGAAGTATTCATCATGTAAAATGTCATGCATAAGACCTATACTGAGGCTGACAGACTATTCTTACATAGGCACAAGGTGAGTGATATTTAACATAAAATTAATAATGTGTTAGTTTTCTTATTGTTTTATAACTTTGCTTTCCAAGAACTGCATTACTGTAAGTGTGCCTCTTTGGTAATTGTTTTCTCTAGCTTACTTTATTATAAGAATACAATATGTAATACATACAAAATATACATTGACTATTTATGTTAGTGGTAACATAAATAAAATAGGTATATAACAGAAATAAGTAAAACATAATAAAATAAATAAAATAAAATAAATAACATAAATATAATAGGTAACATAAACCCAATAGGTAGGGATTCTTAGGTGGCTCAGACAGTAAAGAATCTGCCTGCAATGCAGGAGACCCAGGTTCGACCCCAGAAGATCCCCTGGAGAAGGGAATGGCTATCCACTCCAGTATTCTTGTCTGGAGAATTCCATGGACTGAGGAGTCTAGCAGGCAAAACCAAATAAGGGCAAAACCATCATATAAGTCAGATGTCTCATAGCATTCAGCACCTGAGAATAAGAACACTCTCAGTGGGGCCTTCCCTCAAGACACCCAGTTGACTGTGCTTACCTATTGAGAGCAAGTGGCTATAGGTCTCCAGCATCACATCCCGGTACAGGTTTTTCTGATCAAGATCCAATTGCTGCCACTCCTCTCTGCTGAAATCTACAGCCACATCACTGAAGGACACTGATCCCTGTAAGGGCACATTCCTGTTCAGCATGAATAATTAGCTTTGGAGGATGGAGACACTTTATTTAGGAATATAGAACTTGAGTTTTGTAGTTATTAGTTTGTCTCTTTTTTTTAAAGCCTCAGCCCCTTCATTTCCCTAAAAATTTATTATGAAATTTTATACAGAAAATGTAAAAGAATTATATAGGTAAAACCTATATAACCTATATAACTATATATAACCTATATAACCTATATAACTACCACTTATAATCTATCACTAACATGTTACTCTACTTGCTTTTACCACATATTTACCCATCCATCAATCCATCTTTTCTGTGCATTTCAAAAACTGTAGGTGCCAGTATACTTCCTTCTAAATACTTCAAAAATGCAAATCATTAAGTAGAGTATAACATGTTTTTATCGTTTTAAGGTAAGCCTTACATACAATGAAATGTACAAATCCTCCGAGTACCATTTGAAGTTTTGACAAATGCATATACTTGTGTAATCCAGGAACATTTAAAAAATAATATTTCATATAGAGTGTGCATGTGTGTATGCTAAGTCACTTCAGTCTATACAGAGTGTATATTAAATATCTAGTTTTACATAATATTGTATGGAAGAAAGAAGTCCAGTAAAGAATTTCTGATATTGTTCTATACTATGATCAGTCAATTACTCACTTTTCAAAACTGAAGACTGAAATAGGCTCTCTTGTAGTTTTCCAGCAACTGGATGAATAACCTAAAATATAATTTCTGAGCAATTTAGGCCAACCCATTATGCTAGTCCTGGAAACACAAAAATGAATTACTTATGTTTCTAATCTTCTAGCAACTTAAAAGACTTGGAAAATAAACAAGACCTATGTTTTTTTAAAAAAGAAAGTCACATATTCACTAAAGGGTTAAAAAGTAAATCTCCATGTAGAAAACACTGAGGTCCCCAAAAAGGAAAAATACATTTTACATGGGGGTTTAAGTTCACATTAACTGAGGAATTTAAGTTAGAAGATGAGAAATATAATACAGAATGGGGGTGGTGAGGGAGGTCATTTCCCAGAAAAGACAAAACCAAAGGTGTGGATATAGGAAAATATACGATGAGTTTGGAGAATAGCAAATAGCTCTGTGTAAATGAAGAGAAGTCTGCATGACATGCCAGGAAGGTGGTTATGGGAAAAACAGTTTGCTCATAGAACAAGTATGAATTTTCCACTTTAAGTAAAGGCAATTAAGCTAATCAGATTTATACTAAAATTTTTTTGTATTGCAGAATAACCAAAAAAATGATGAGGCACAGTTCCTTACAAAATGCTTTCTGGCTAATTAATGAAGAAGTTAGGATAGAATCAGAATAACATCATTTTATAATTTGTAATGAAATAACAGATTTAGACAATAATCATTAAAGGTTGCTGAACTGTTTCATGTGAAAGGCTGAAGTTTAAAATGAATGAATGAGCTAAGAACATCTGCAACGAATCAACAATTTTAACATCATAAAAAGAGATAACCAGGTATTATGTGCCTCCTGATATGATAAATAAAGAAAAATACAACCTGAAACTCATTAAGCCTCTAGATCCAACAAATTATTCATATGTAAGGCTTCCTTGGTGCCTCAGGGGCAAAGAATCCGCCTGCAATGCAGGAGATGGGGGTTCACTCCCTGGGTTGGGAAGATTCCCTGGAGAAGGAAACGGCAACCCACTCCAGTATTCTTGCCAGGGAAATCCCATGGACAGAGGAACCTGTCCATGGTTATAATCCATGGGGTCGCAGAGAGTCAGACACAACTTAGTGACTAAACAACAACAATGTGAAGTGTAGAGGAAAATGTTCAACAATATCAAGACTAAAACATAAGCTAAATCCAGAAGGCAGCAAATGACCTGTTTCTTCAAAAATAAATCACAAAAGAAAAAAATATGGAGGGGAATCTTTTTTTTTTTAATTTTAACAGTTTTTAATGAAAGCTGTAGACAAGATGATTTATTCCTGCATCTTCTCAATTGTTTTTCTTATATTTGCCCTTTTCCTTTCCTACTTGGTGAGATTTGGCTTTACCTTCGAGGATCTTTTTGTGGTCTTTGGCCAGTGTGTCTGGTGATAACCACCTTGCTGGGGTGAATGCCCACATGGACAGCTGTGCCATTAGCCTTCTCCTGCTGCACTCGTTCAATGTAGATGACATATTTCTTCCTGTAAACCTGGACTACTTTGCCAATTTGCTGCCCTTTGTAGTGCCCTCATACAACCTGAACTTCATCATCCTTTCGGATGGGCATGGATCGAACGCTGTACTTCTGTCTTAGCTTTTTAGAAAGAGGAGAAGACGTAATTTTCCTGCGAACGTGGGAAGACGCATGGAAATGCCTTTTTTGATTCATGCTTAGGTCAGAAGTCACAAAGGGACTGAACTTCATTTTGGCTGCTGGTGCTTCAATGATGGCCACAGAAGGGAAGAGGGGAATCTTTTCTTTATTAAAAGAGACTAAGAGAATGCCCCGGCGGTTCAATGGTTGGAAGCTGGAGCTTTCACTGCCGAGATCCTGGGTTCAGTCCCTGGTTGGGATCTAGGATCCCACAAGCCTTGTGCTGTGCTCCCCAACTCCCTCCCCCCCAAAAAAGAGACTTCAGAGTCATACTAACCAAGTGCAATTTATGGACCTTGTTTGGCTCTTAATTAAAGCAAACCAACATTAAAAAGATACTTATGGCAGGTCTGTATGTATGTCTGTGTGCATGCTCAGTTGTGTCCAACTTTTTGCAACCCCATGCCCAACTGCAGCCTACCAGGCTCCTCCGTCCATGGGATTTACCAGGCAAGAGTACTGGAGTGGGTTGCCATTGCCTTCTCTGTTAAACATGATCATTTATATTTTAAAAATCTAGTCTGGAAATGCATAATTGAAGGAATGACTTATTTCCACCTGGATTCATAAACACTTAAAAAAGGGATTATAGGGACTTGAACATCCCACACTCAGCAAATTGCAGAAATAACAGAGAGGGTATTATCAATGCTATAGAAAAGCAAACAATATCTAATCAATATTTATAGGATATTCCAACAAAAGAAAAATACACATTCTTTTCAAGAACCCAGAGAACAATGACGAAGACAGACCATATCTTAGGCTGTGAAACAAATCTCAAAAAACTGGAAAGAACTGAAATAACACAAAGTTGTTCTCTGAAAATAATGGAATCCAATTAAAAATCAGTAACAGAAAGACAACAGAAAAATCTCCAAAGGAATTATGTTAGAAAATAGTAACAAAAACTGAAAAGTCACAAAATATCTTGAAATCAATCAACATACTTCTAAATAAACTACAAGTCAAAGAGAAATCCTCAAAAGAAATTTAGAAAATACAGAGAACTGAAAGAAAATGAAAAATACTACATATCAACTCATCTTATCTCTTATTACCATTAAGTGCTATTCTTTTAAAATCTTTGTCATGCTGGGCAAAAATGGTAATGCATTATCTTTACAGTTATTTGATTACTAACTAAATCAAAATTTTTATGTTTATTGGCCAGTAAAAAATATGTAACATATCAAAATCTGTGAGATGCTGAAAGGGAAATTTATAGAAAAGGTGAAACACACAATCCAAATAAAAAATGGGCAGAGGATCTGAATAAGGTATTTTTCCAAAGAAAATATACAGATTTCCAACAGATATATGAAAACATGTTCAACATCACTAATGATCAGGGAAATACAAGTTAAATTCACAATAAGATACCACTTTTCACATGTTAGAATGGCTATTATCAAAAAAACCCACCCCACAAAACAAAAACAAAAAATACCACAAGAAATAACAAGCGTTGGCAAAGAAGTGAAGAAAAGGGAATCCTTGTGCACTACTGGAAGAATGTAAACTGGTACAATCACTATGGAAAATACTATGGAAGTTCCTCAAAAGATTAGAAATATAATCTTTCTTGTTTATAAGAAAGTTTATTAACTTGTGCAAGTTAATAAATATCTTAAAGGTTCTCAACACAAGAAAAACATCTGTAGCTACGTGTGATGAAAACTAGATTTATTGTGGTGACCATTTCACAATATACACAAAGATTGAATAATGTTGTATACCTAAAACTAATGTGGGATATGTCAATTACATCAATTTTAAAAAAAGAAAAAGGAAAGGGGAAAGTTCTCAAGTCAATAATCTAAATTCCTACCTCAAGAAAGTAGAAAAAGAAAAACAAAATAAACCCA